ACCAGATGGCAGAAAAGAGTTGAACCTTTTTAAAAACTGTTTTGTGCCAAGTACAGGGAGTTGTTTAATGACCACAGTTGGGATTGGCAACTTGATCCTTAAGCAAATCTGTCACTAAATGAAACCATGACTGAACTTATGATCTTATTTCAATTTTGCTTTGCTTTACACAACTGCTCTTGGAATATTTTCTTTACCTGCATGCAATATTGTAACATTTAAAGTATCTTAAGAACTGATAAGATTGCAAGGATCAACAGGGTGCCATTTTTCAGGGGAGGGGCTAGCCCTGGCATCATAGGTAAGAGTTGCCTTACAAGGACCAGATTACTTCTCCCTAGTAAAATGTAGAGGCACAGCTACTACTATGGGATGGCTATAGGAACAGCCAGAAGAGAGGGAAATTCCCACTCTGTGAATTTTATGCAGGAAGAAGCCACCAATCTGAAGCTTATAGAAAGAAAAAAAAATGAAATCTTTTCAATCCATCTGCCACAACATCCATGACAACTCTCTTTTACTGAAACAACTTCATAAATGCTAGCTGCATTCACAAAGAATAGCCAAACCTTGAATTGGAGTGTCCTGTTAGATGCACATTTTGCCCTCCTCTCCATTTCAGGAGTTTTCAGAAATATTTCTGGCTCCTTCTGGCACCCAGAGAATGAGTTAGGCAGCACCCACTCTCTGATTCAAGAGGTTTGTTTTTATGTTCATGAGTCCATCCAGTGGACGGCTGCCAGGACCTGTCTAGCTGGCTGAATGCATTCACTACCACGTTCAGTGGTCAGCATGAATTCAGTTCAGGAAATGTAGATTTGCTCCTGGAGGGAAAAGCCTTTAAATGACCGAAAGGGTCGCTATGCGTTAGCCATAATAAATCATTTTCAACTATTGTACTCAATTACTGTTCTCATTTTTACTGTTGGTTATTGTTCTTAGTTGTGATTTTCTTCCATGTACTGTTCTGGAGTCTTTGGAAAGGAACACCATGGTATAAATAAAAATAAAATAATTCAAAGCACAATATCCCCAACAAGAGAAAGGATGGCAAACAAGAATAACTTCCTCCACTTTCCATGTGAGACACAGTCACTAAGTACAGCTCTTGCCAATCAAACTGCTCAGCAACCCTGTCATGTGACCGGCTGCACCCTGTTCAAAACTCTCCCTTGCCCACAGGTCACCCGAGGGACTGCCTCTCACCCGCTGAATCTGCACGGGCAGGAAACAAGAGCTCAGCCCAGGAGCCTCAGCCTTTGTCAAAAGAAAGAAGAAACTGAGGGCTGAAGGTGTTTTTCGCAAGGCTCTGACTGAGTCCAATCCAAGACACATTCTTTCCATCTCGGCTTTTGCTCAGCTATGGCAGCTTCTTCCTTCTGGATTTGCAGGGACTTTGGGGCCACCCTGGGGCTCTTGCTTGTAGTCACAGGTATGGCTTCTTCCATCTCTTTCAGCTAAATCCATTGATTAAGATGGTTTAAAGTCCTAGGCAGTTTAATGATGATTGTTGCTTTTTTTTAAAGTGTTTTCCCCCCTCTTTCATGAGCCTAATTTGGTTGTCTTTTGGATTGAGTGACAGGGCCTAAATAAGCAAACAAATAAATAAAAACTATGTTTATTGGGTTTTCTAAATTGATGCCATTCAGATGCTAGCACTAGAATTTCCATGCTGCCAAGTTGACTAAGATTGGTATAGTTAAGGCCTGAAGAGGATACCATATGAGAAGGCTGGTCTGAATTCAGAGTAGGCTGAGAATTGGATCCCAGGTGAGGATATGGTTTATAAATAAATAAGGTGCATAACCTGAAACTCAGCTAGAAGAAGCAGAGGGTGGTTTTCCAGTTATTCTGCAAGATTGGAGGAAAAAGGTACAAAAGAGGGAATGGGAGGGGCTAGAAATATAACTAGATTAACAGAGGGATCAGCAGAAAATTCTGCTGCAAATTCAATAAAAGCAATATGATAACAAATAAGAGGTAATGGCATCCTCTAAGTTACTGAGCATGTTTTATTTTAGAAATGAAGTTTTACAGAACTGCCACCAAACACCTGAAACCACATTCTACAAAGACAGGATGGTCTTTTCTCGATAGTAGAGATAGTGGGGATTTCGGTGGGAGATGGAAATATCTAAGAGAGAGCCCAGGACCTTCTTCATCCTCCTCCTACCCCCTCCCCCAGAATTGTTCAGGGGAAATTTCACAGAAACAGGAAAGAAAATTGTGTTCATTGAGGTGTGTTACAAGAACAGCAACATTTCCTGTCCAGCTGCTTTGAATGTGGAGAGAAGCTGACACGTTAGTGTTTGCTTTCTAAAATGGGAAACTTTCTTTTCTATCATCTTTTCTATCATGGTGCGCACGGGAACTCCACAATGCAATCCTAGCTATGACTTCTCAGAAGTAAGTTTTTTTTAAGTGCAAATGAGTTTCCTTCCAGTAAGCCTTGCATTTCAGCCTAATAATATTGGTCTCAAGCTACCTGGCATTTCACATTTTACCTTTTAGTAAATGCACAAATAGGATTGACCAGATTTAATTTTCCTGGGCAGAAATTAATTATAAAAAGGATGCAATCTTTAACCCCTCCAACTTGAACTGAAAATGCATGCTTAAAGCATGGTCAAATAACAAGAAGTAAAAAGGTAAACATTATTATATTGTTTCCTGTAATATTTTAAAAAATAGTTATCCCGTGGAAAGAATACACTGTTTTAAAAAGATTGTTATGAAATAGATTCACACATTACACTAACTCATGTTCTACTTTATCATGGATTATTGAATAAACCACAATTGTTGGGTTCACACAGGACACTAAGGCAAAATCAAATAACATTATGGCTTAGCATGAGGCATGAACCCAGTCAATGGCTAGGTTTACAGGGCATATTAAGCCATAATATAGCTAGTTGGATTTTGACTTAACATATGCAATGAATCCAGTCAGTTATAGTTTATCAGTAAATCAGGGTTAAGAAAGTACAATTTGCAAATGTACCATAGTGGGCAAAAGGCCGTGACTCTTGAAAACAGAGAAAGTCAGGAGTTTGAAGGGATAGATTAGAGCAGTGGTGGTGAACCTATGGCACGGGTGCCAGAGGCAGCACTCAGAGCCCTCTCTGTGGGCACACGCACCGTTGCCCCAGTCCTAGGCCTTCAGCTGGTTTTATAAAACCTTATCGCTTTAGGCCTCCACCGCCGTGTACAAAAAAAAAGGTTCAATCAATCAGTCAATTTCAACTTCTCGCAGGAAAAAAAAAGATCTTGCAAAGTTGGAATTGATTGATTGAACTTTTTAGTCCCACCCAGTCTGCCATTACCACCGTAGCCACACCCACCCAATGGGCCACACCCACCCGGCACCCAACGATGCATAAGTGGGTTTTGGGTTGCAGTTTGGGCACTCGATCTCTAAAAGGTTCGCCATCACTGGATTAGAGGGTCTCTTATCTTTAAAGGTATGAATACTCTAGTCTGCAAAACTTCCTTGCAGACTAAGGTCCTCGGTTTTGGATTCAAATCTCAATCTCTGTCACTTGCTTTTCTCAGGGCAGCGCATCCAGTCAGCCAGTTTAACATGCTGTCCTCAGTCCATGAGAGGCACAACTATGTCAGTAGGATGCAATCCACTTCAGGAGCAAGAGGGGAGAATGTGCAGTGCAAGGCAAGTTAAGAGGCAGAGACTGGTGGGTTTTCTCATCCATGAGAAAAAACATCCAATTGCCCTTTGGGGGCTAAGAGAAGACGCAGGTTCTGACAAATGGATAAAAGTGGAGGACTTAGCTGACTGTCAGAAGCTGATTGGGTGTTATTCAGTTGAGTAAGAGAGACTGTCCTCCCCAGCTTTCCTTAAATCCTCTAGATATAACCCAGACAGCCACCTGATCTCAAGTATTAGGTGATGCAAGTGTCCATGGAATGGCTGGGGGTTGAGTTGTCAATAATAAAATTGCCCTGTTGAGTGCTTTTGCTCTTGTGCACTGCCTATCAGTGGGGGCTGAGAGGCAGGACATTCAGTATTGTGCTTCTGCTGCTGAAACCTGTATGGGTGGCCAAGCTTCAGAAGAAGTACTATTCAGTTCTACTGAGCCCGCCCCCTCCTCAGCACCTGCCAATTTCCTGGGTTGCCTGCAGTATCTGAGCTATAGGGAAGACATCTCCCGTATCCCTGAAAAAGCTGCTGCCATCCCTGCAGATTTGCTGACCCAGTTCCCCTGTTCATGACAATGAAGGTTGAAATAGCAAGGACTGAAGTGGAAAAATTGGAGGAAAGTCAACCAGCCCACTAATGTGCTTGACCGGCTGATAGTTGATCTCCTGTTTTAGCAGCCACCACATGTGTGATCTGTTAACTGGGCTGACAACACACCATGTAGAGAACCTGGGATGAAAAAGGAACTATGATTTCAAGCACTTTCCCCACCATGTGACAACCCCATTAGCCACTTCAGAGAATGTACCCAGATAGACACCAAACCTTCGTCCCCTTTTTGTATCATCAGTTCAGTTGTCCCCAAGGTACATATGAAACATCATGTTACTAGCAACGCTTATTTCAGAGAACATGGAAAATACCACTTCAGCTTTGGTGGTTCAGAAAAACCTGAGATCACCTGGCCTTGACTATGAACTGGGATTACAGAAAGCCCATGACAAGTAGAGAAGTCCTGAATAACCAGCCAGCTACCCTGCAGCAGAATGTAGGTAGATGTCGAGCAGGCACTGTGGTTTTTATTAGAAAGCCTTGATCTTGGTCTACATAGTGCACTAAGTCATAAATTAAGGCTTACCCATTACAGGGACTGGCTTACCCAACTAAGTAAAAAACTTATTTGGTCGAAGATTCATCCTCACATCCCCTCACGATGCCCTGATGAGAGCTTTTACATGAGTGCCTTCGTGAGGTTTGCCTTCCTATCATTCTCCACTCACAGAGGAAGCAACTTATGGCCTTTTCAGCAGTTCTAGTTTTAAAGTGAGGCTTCTCCCAGCACAATATTTCCCATGGATCTCATCTTAGATGCAGCAGGTGATATGGTCAGCGCTGGTGGCCTACCTAGAATCTCTTGGCCCCGTTAGACTACTACAGACAGATTGCTGGTCACTTCCAAGTCCTCCATGACCATTTTGATTTGGGTGGCAGAAGATGCCAGACCCCTGGTTTCCACAGAGACATCTGCCTACATAAGGCCTGACCACAACTTTCCAAAATGATCACTTGTTGTCAGGCGTTACACAGGCTCCTCATTTATACAAGATGGCCCTCATTAAAATAGTGTTAAACCTCAATATATTTCAACCCCGTGCTCCAAAGAAGTTGGATTCAAATCAGGAAAGGCTCTGCCAGCTTTGTCTGCTGATTCTGCCGCCAGTGGGTGCATTACAGGTTTTCCGTTGTTTTGCTGACAAGCAATTAAAGATTATTGAAAGCATATCCAGCATCAAAATTTATAGAAGTGAATTTGGGAGAGGGAAATGTTGCTTGATTTTTTTCCTCTATTTGTTTAGATCATTCTGCTTGAAGGCACAGAAGACAGAAAGAAAATCAAACAGCCCCCATTTCAATTTTGGTTGAAGAGGTAAACTGGTTCTTTTTCAAACCATTTTTTCTCTTTCCCCAGGTATGACAATCACCAAAGCTTCTAGTGAAAGAAATAACATTTCTCAAAAACAAGGTATATGTGTACTTTCAAGATAATATTGTCTTTCAGTTCCTATTTCTGAAATTCCCTTGCAATAATCTTTTTTCCAAGGTTGTGTTACTTGTCACTTGTAAAATTGCCAGGTTTTGAGTGCAATTAAAGCTGTATGGCTGCTATTTTTGGAACAATTTAGCTTCTGCAAAACAATCCAATGTTCACATTTATATCACGTCACTGGGTGCCTTATGGAACTTTGGCTGTTTGTCCATGGACCAATCCAAGGATTGTGTTTTCACCTGGATTGTGTTTGATTAAAAAGCTGTCAATACCTTCTCTCCCACATCTGCTACCTTTTCATCCAGAGACTTGAACTCTGTAAGAGGATGAGCCTTTCAAATCCCAAAAAGCCAGCCTGAACTGAGAAAGGACCAACCAGTGCCTGACCTTATCCAGTTCCCTGTTCCATCTGTCAGTCTCAGCCCAACGGTGAAGACAAAGCAAAATAGGTATCCTAATCTATTGTGCTCTGTAGATGAATGAAGACACGAACCAAATATGCATCCCAATCAAAACTAGGTCTCCCCACTCTGGAACTCTCCAAGGGTGTTGGGAAGTCTTCACCTATTGCATAACTGTTTGTCATGAAGCTTTCAAGGATACAAAGACCTTCCCAGAAAAGAACAGCTCTGCACCTCCAGTGAAGAACTGACAAACTCATTCCTCTAGTCAGGAATTAGTTGGAACTTGATACATGCTTTAATAGCTTATTTAGAGCAATCTATCTTCCTAGTCTAGCATGGTCCAGATACTGGCTGTGTGTGATTAGCCCAGCATTTCTAGAGGGAACCTATCTGGGGAAGATTGGTAGAAAGTCCAGTAAAGATATTTACCCTTCTTTTCCATCCTGTGGTCTATCTTTCTCTTTACTGTGGGTTTTTCTTCTTTTACACAGATACAACCACTTTCATGAATGTGATAAATACACGTTTCATTGCTGCAAGAGGCGGGGCTCGAATTTCCCTTAGCTGTTCTTTTGACTCTCTGGCAAGTTGGTATAAAGAGATTGAGCAGGAGGAATACCAGGAGATTATGAACAGTTCCAGAGTCCATGTGACCAGAAATAATTCAGTGGTAATGATGCAGATCAACAAACTCCAGCACACCGACAGTGGTATCTACCACTGTAGGATCAAGGCCTCAAGGAAGCCCTCCTGTGGTACAGAACTCAAAGTCATGGGTAAATCTTTAATCTTCTAAATACTGTCCTCTCTGATGCTATATGCTTGGGTATTGCTATCTATGGACAATACTTTTTGGACAAAAGGCCATACATTCTATTCCCAGAGAAAAATATACCAGCTAATATCTGGGACTCTGTCCGTTCATACTGGCAGCCTGTCTTAGGTAGAGATGCAATGCTATACAAGCTAAGGATATTTAAGTACACACATGCGGTACCTAAACCACATCACAGGATCTGAATTCTGTCCTGCATGTAGTATAAGACTATTTTCATTTCAAAGATGTAAATGAAAACAGTGATCAAAATTGGATATTTCTGTCAATGTAGTCCTAGGGCAGTGGGGTACACAATCTCTTTATGACAAGCAAAACTGAGAAGTCAGGAGGGCTCCTCTTGTTGTTTTAAAGGTATCAGCACCTATGAGCAAGTGCAGAGTCGGCACAACGTGAAAGATGCTATCATCTTAATCCAGACAATTCTTCTTGTCCTTTTTGTGAGCATGCCTGTCTTCCTAACCCAAGGGAAGGTGAGTGAATGGGACCTTCATAATAGCAGTTCAGTTGGGGCCTTGACTGACCACTAGACTATAACCGTGATCTTTGATATGTGGTTGGCTTCTCCCTGAATAAGGGAGTGGCTTTGGGGCATATTGAAGCACTGCAGGAATATACTTCAAGACAGTGGGACTGCTTTCTCAAAATGGAATCTGGGGAGAGCTTTCCTGCAGACTCAACCTCAAGGAAATGCCATTAGTAAGCATCTGAGGGTGCACCTTCTTATTCTCAGACCTTCTCCTCTGGAACAGTGGACTCCAGATAAATAAGCTCAGCAAGAAATAAAAAAAGAAAAGGACTAGGAATGCTTAACCAATGTGTCTCAAGTAATTATCAGGAAAAAAAATATCAAGCTAATTGAAGTTTGATTATATATCTCTATGTCATTTTAGGGTGACAGAAAAGATGCCTCTGGGGAAGAACATACTTATGAGGTAAGCTTCAGAGTGAGAGATTCTTGGTCTTAACCACATAAAAATGTATGCATTTTTCTTCATATTCTATACTGGCCTATAGTCTTCAGGCCAGAGGATTGTAGCCAGCCATGGAGAAGTCTCTAATTTATATGCAGAAATGTTCAATTCCCCTCTTCTCCAGGTAGGGCTTGGGAAAAAACCTATTTGGAACTCTGGGGAGCCATCACCAGTTAAAATAAATAATTTTGTCTTGGATGGATTATGGATCTAGCTCAATACTGTACAAGTCAGCTTCTTTCATTTTTGACTTCTGGTTGAACAGCCCACCAGTCAAGAACTAGACTAGATGGACTTTTTATTTCATTGAAGAGAATTCCTTTTATGTACCCATAGGACATTTTTAAGCAGTTCTTTTACTGGCATGGAGAAAGAACAAAATTGAGTTGGACAGCATATTTCTACCCCCCTCCAACAAAGCACTGCTGATACTTTCCGTTCATAGGCCGATTTCATTTTTGTTCTTCAACAGGGACTGACGGTTGAACTAGCTGATACGTATGAAGACATTGGTGCTTACCAAGACAGACCAGAGAAGTGGGATTTGGGGGAACATCCATGTGAAGAATGAAAAGGCTAGCAGCTTGGTCGGCCACAGCTGACTTAACCAAAGGGGCACCAATTCCTGGGGCAACCAGGTTCCACTATAAAAATTCCACTCTAGAGAAGCTTTAAAAATATGCTTATCTCTTGCTTGCGGCTGATCTGCTAGAAACTACTAAAAAACAGCATTCACACTCTCCAGATTCCCTGGGACAGTTGAGTCAAGGACATACAAATGGGGAGAAGGGAGAAGACAGGCAGACTCAATTTGAGGCACACCATAAAAATGAAAGCAGAAAGAGCTGAGAAGAGAAATGAATGTGTGAGTAGATGGGCTTTCTGGCTTGAGTTTGCTCTATATTTCCTTCCCCAAATGACACCTTCTTAATTGGTTTCCCACTCTCACTCATAACTGGCTAGGCAGCAAAGGATTGAATCTGATAACCTAAGATCTAACATCACATTGCTTCAATTTCTTTAACCCAAGATACTCCAGATTGTCTGGGAGCGGGACTACTGCTCCCAAAATTCCTTACCAAGATGGCTATGGTGAAAATATCTGGAATATATTAGTTATAGGACACAATGTTTCCTACTGAGATTTATAGTTTTGCAGTTAGGATTTTTCTTCCTTAGGCTCATATTAAAAAAATATTTCTAGCATCCTTATGAAAGAATTTCAAATATATTTGCTGAACTTTTCAAAATAATAAAAAGTTTAATATTATTTTTTAAAATTTTGACAGCATATTACTTCTTTGTTTCAGGAGCATGAAAAAATGTACGCAAGCATTGTGTGTTTTCTAATTTCTACATTACAGAAATCTGAAAGTGTAACATTTTTAGCTTAATATGCATAACCAACTTCTTAGGAATAAACCTTTCCATCTGAACAACAGAACTACTTGTAAATAATTGTGTCTTTGGTCTATAACAGCTCCAGGTGCCCTCCAGCTAGGCTGATTTTAAACAATCAGCATGGCCAATGGCCAAAGCTGGGTGAAGATCACAAGAGTTTATTTCAAATACATCTGGAAGGCACCAGATTGGAAGAATTATGTATAGTAAGAACTGCAGAGGTTTTTATTCTTGGGTGAACACATCTGTCAATGGGAAGACCTTCAGAGGTTGCATTTTGAAAACAAAAATATTAAAAAAAACACTTTTTGAAGTAGAGACCTAGTCACTTTTGGCAAGTATAGATGCTTTGCTAAAAATCAACCTGGTCAGAGATATTTTGCTCCCAAAATGGAACAACTGTGTTTGCATATATACCTATTTCCAATGTAAAAATAGCAAAAGACTTGTTATGATGTCACAACACAAGCTCCACCTTTTGTATTAATGTTGCACAGATGAATATCTAAGTGTCAGAGCTTGTGTTGCGATGGTTTGCAAATTTAACCCTTCCTCCGAAATACCTACGTGTCTCTTGTTCCCTCATACAGATCAGTGTTTCCAGTGAACGAAAATACTGCAAGCCAATTTTCCATTGCTTGATCAGAAAAAGTCCATTGGAAAACAATAACTAAACCTGTATTATCCTTTTATACTTGTTAAGGTTACCTGCCACTAAACACTTTTCACATCAAGAAAGTGGCAATTCGAAGCCACATTCCACATGTAAAACACGGATACAGTTATTATCGAGACACTGCCCCAAATGTCCTCTTAACTGTTACAGGGGTGCTCAATTTCATACTGTTTGGGTATGTTTTTCTGCAAATTACTGACTGGAACCATTTGCTTCCTGTTTTTTCACAAAGCATAGCTAAATACCTTCTCAGAGAAGGAAAATGGATGTGGGAAGTGGGGGAGTAGGGTAAGCAGCCTCGTGCACAGACAAAACCAGAGAGTAAAAACGTTAATTTTCATAGTTCAGTTTCAGTTCTGCCTACTGTGCCTTTTCTACTCTGCTTCTACTTCTGTGTATCTTTCAATTTATAACGAATCTCAAAGCTGGGATTCAAATTCAGCTACATTTAAAAGTCAATGTCAATGTCCCGATGTCCCAGTATCTATAAGAACTTAAGTTGTCCTGAGCCAGCTAAACCCAGAGCTATCTATGACCGACAGTTACAACAGTCACTGCAGAGGCAGTATCCTGGGGATCTCAGATAGGAAAATGCTATTCCCCCACCTTAGTTTTACAATCCCCTGCAATCCTCAGTTAACTACAGAAGGGACAAGAGACTGGCCAATTGTCATAGCTTTATGGAGCAATAGGAAGACTCAAAGTCATCTCTTCCACTATGACCCAGGTAAGCAACAAGCAGTAGTTCCTCAGCAACTATTTTGTGACCCTGGAGCTTCTTCTGACCACTGTTTTTTAAAACACATGGAAATTGAATTCTGCAACAACAAATAGGAAAAAGATATGGATGGAAGGAAGACCCTCCAAATCATCCAAATCTCACTGCAATCTTCAAGCCCCCCCCCCCAATGTGGTTGATCCATGGATAACAAAAGGTTGTACAATGATTTCATTCAGTCAGGTGTTAGGCTCTACCACAACAGCACTTTCTGAAGCTACATTTTTAGAAGCTCCAGCTGAAAGGAGCTTAAATGTTCAGCACTGTCCTTTGGTCACTACTTGGGATAAGACCCTTCCATGGTTGTTCCCGCACCCCCACTGCAGGCTTTTACACCAAGGTTGGCTCTGACTGCCACAAGATGTTCTGCTCTCCAAACCTTTAAACTCATGGCTCATTATGAGTATGAGAAGATGGGTCATTTTTTTAACCGTTAAGTATGCAGTGTGTCTCCTTCCTCTGGCAGCTTTGTCCAGAAAATCCCTTCTGAGTTATAAGCACAGCACGGAAACGGCATTGGTCGCGTTGGTTAATGATCTCTGGAGGGCCCGGGACAGGGGATATTCCTCTGTCCTTGTTCTTTTGGACCTCTCAGCGGCTTTTGATACCGTAGACCACGATATCATGCTGCGGCGTCTCGGTGGGCTAGGAGTGGGAGGCACCGTTATGCGGTGGTTCTCCTCCTTCCTCACCGAC